TTAGAACAGTTTCATCACCCACCCAAAAAAATCCTGTATACTTTAGCAGTAATCCTCCTATTTTCCCTATTCCACTTGCTCCCCAGCCCTAGGCAATCACTAATCTACTTTCTATCTCTATAGATTTGCCTATTTTGGAATCATACAATATGTGGTCTTGGGTAACTGGCTTCTTTCACTTAGCATAATGTTTTCAAGGTTCGTCCATGTTGTAGCATGTCTCAATATTTCAGTCCTTCTGATTCCTAAATAATATTTTGTCGTGTGGATATGCCACATTTGGTTTTTGGCTATTACGAATAATGCTGCCATGAGCACTCATGTACAAGTTTTTGTGTGGATGTATGTTTTCATTTCTTTTGGATATATACGTAGCAGTGGGATTGCTGAGTCATATAGTAACTCTATGTTTAACCTTTTAAGGAACTGTCATACTGTTTTCCAAAGCTGCTGCACCATTTTATGTTTCTACCAGCAGTGTGTGAAGGTTCCAATTTCTCCATATCCTTGCCAACACTTGTTATTTTCTGTGTTTTTGATTATAGCCATCCTAGTATGTGTGAGGTGGTATCTCATTGTGGTTTTGATTTGTATTTCTCTGGTGACTAATGATGTTGAGCATCTTTTCATGTGTTCATTGGCCATTTCTATATCTTATTTGGGGAAATGTCTTATTCAGATCCTTTTCCCATTTTAAAATTGGGTTATATGTCTATTTATTATTGAGTTGTAAGCGTTTAAGTTCTGTATATATTCTAGATACAAGCCTCTTATCAGATATATGATTTGCAAATTTTTCTTTCATTCTGTGTGTTGTCTTTTCACTTTCCTGATATCCTGACTGTATGCTTTGAAGCACAAAAGTTGTAAATTTTGATGTTTAATTTATCTGTTTTTTCTTTTTTTTTGTTTGTGTTTTTGGTGTCATATTTAATAAACCATTGCCTAATCCAAAGTCATGAAGATTTACCCTATGTTTTCTTCTAAGAGTTTTATAGTTTTACCTCTTACATTTAGGTCTTTGATCCATTCTTAGTTAATTTTTGTGTGTGGTGTGAGATAGGGGTCCAACTTCATTGTTTTGCATATGGATATCCAGTTGTCCCAGCACTATTTGTTGAAAAAACTATTCTTTCCCAGTTGAATGGTCTTGGCACCCTTGTCAAAAATCAATTGACTGTAAATGTGAAGGTTTATTTCTGGACTCTCAATTCTATTTTATAGATCTGTATATCTGTCCTTATGCTATTACTACACTGTTGTTAGCTTTGTAGTAAGTTTTGATATTGGGAAGTATGAGTCCTTCAACTCTGTTCTTCTTTTTCAAGATTGTTTTGGTCATTCTAGGTCGCTTGCATTTCCATATGAGTTTTAGCAAAAATGCCAGTTGAAAGTTTGTCAATTTCAGCAAAGAAGCCAGATGAAAGTTTGATAGAAATTGTGTTGAATGTGTAGAACAATTTGGGGGAGTATTGCCATCTTAACAATATTAAATCTTTCAATCCATGAACACTGGAGGCCTTTCCATTTATTTAGATCTTTAAATTCTTTCAACTATGTTTTATGATTTTAGAGTATAGGTTTTGCACTTCTTTTGTTAAATTTATTCCTAAGTATTTTACTCTTTTTGACTATTGTACATGAAATTTTTCTTAATATCATTTTTGGGTTGTTCATTGCAATTGTATAGAAATACAATTGATTTTTGTGTATTGATCTTGTAGTCTCCAACCTTTTTGAACTCATTTATTTGTTCTAATAGTTTTTTAGTGGAATCCTTAGGATTTTCTATATACAGCATCATGTCATCTCCAAATAGAGATAGTTTTATTTCTTTCTTTCCAATTTGGATGCTTTTTATTTCATCTTTTTTGCCTGATTGCCCTGGCTAGCCGCCCTAATCTTATCTTACTTATCAAGAGTGTTTGATACAGTTGATCATTCTTTCCTCCTTGCAGCCCTCTCTTCACTTGGCTTCTTGGACACCACACTCTGGTGGTTTTCCTCCTGTCTCACTGGCTGCTTTCTCATCTTTTTTGCTGGTTCCTCATCTTCCCCTCAACTCCAGACCCATGTATCCACTTGCCTACTTGATAGCCCCACTTAGATGTCCAATAGGCAGCTCAAACTTAACATGTCCAAAACTTAACTTCTAATCTTAAATGAAGTGTTTTGTGGAAAAAAAGAAGAAAATAAATATAAGTTAACATTTACTGAATGCTTACTATTGACTATGTTGTTTATAACACATCTCAATTCTGATATTCAGGGGACATGAATCCTGATCAGTTTGAGTCCGGGGCCCAAGCTCCTTCCTAACGGCTATACTGTAATTCTCCACAAATCACAGAGTATATAGCCCTGTTTTTTCTCCTCAAGATTGTCCTTTGGAGTAGTGTGACAGCTCAGACACAAAGGATCCCATAGGCTCTCTAGTAAATGGAATTAGAAGTGCTTGTGAAACATGCAGTGCTTCGGAGCTGCCTCTCCTCTTTTCCATGCAGGGTGGGTATATAGAGAAGTTTCCAGTGTGCAGATGGGCTTTTCCACCCCCAAGGAAAGCCTACCTTGAGTTTTAGGCAAGTTTCTCTTGGTTGCTTTCCCAGGTTAGAGTTTCTCTGGCCTTGAAATACACTTCCCGCCCATCAGAACTGCTCTCATTCATTTGCTTAACTGGATTCTCCATCTTTATTCCTCATGCCTTCTTGTCTTTTCCCCATTTGTTCACTGATTGTCAGCTCCTCTGGGTTTGTGCAAGATATCCCACTCTGACATTTGCTTGTTCAGCACCTAGCACTGAAAATTTGCTCAGCATTTCTGACCCATCTGTGTCAACACTTTTCTTCTTGAAATACTGATTCCTCCCCTCCCCACAAAAAAATTACTTCTACTTTTAAATAGCAGTGGTAACTCCATTTTCTCCCTAAAATCTTTACTAGAAGTGAAAATGTCCAAGATGAGTCTGTTCATGTTGGGACTACATTTTTACAATAAATTTTGTCCAGATTAAAAACCAGCCTGTTCTCAGGTGGCATCTGCAATCTCATTTGGTTACCATGATATATGTCCCAAGGCAGCTAAGAAAGATGAGAAAACTGGTGAGGTCATTTGTCCATGTTCTCATAGCCAGTTAGGGGCAGAGCCAGTTCTGTTCCCAGTTGAGCTGGTTTATTCTGATAAAGTTGGTGTGTAGGGTCTGCTGCCCACTGCAGGGTGAGGCCCTACCCCCAGGTTTTGCTTCTGGGTGCTCAGAGGTCTCATCCTTCCCAGAAGCCCCATCACTGGTACCTTATTCCATACGCTGAACCTTTCCTGATCACCTTTCCCTATTGGAGCTAACCTATCTTCTGTCTTTTCCCTTTCTAAATCTCAGCCAATTATGAGGAATGGTGGTACTGTATCTGGAGTCAGAACTGGATTCAAGACTCAGGCTTCTGTGGCTTTGGGCCACCTCTCTGAGCTTCAGAGACGAGATGATCTCTAAGGGCATTTGCAGCTCCAGCCTTCTCAGGCTTTATGATTCTATTTCTCTGATAAGTGAACCTGAATTAATGTCTTAATAGTTGCCATGGTTTAATATGCTACACCAGAGATGGCAAATATGTAGCTTCTCTTCCATCTATCAACCATGGAAGACTCATTATTTTCATTTATTGCTCTCACATGGAACCCAGTCATGACCTCAGTCTTCTCAATCCAATATGGTGTGCTAAGTAACCACTACCAGTGGATCACAGCTAAAATGTGTTTGTCCTCCCTGTCTTCTGTCCCGCCTCTAGAGCTTCAGTCTAAAGGAGGGACTGGTGGTGACAGGATACCATAGAAGTTAGAAGCCTGGGTTCTGGGGTTCAGCTGCCTGCACTCAAATCCTGTCTCCACTGCTCTTTTTTCTGCGTGGCCTTGGGAAAGTTACTTAACTTCTCTGGCCCTCAATTTCCTTATTTGTAATATGGGGCATAACAATAGTCCTACCTCATAGGATTATAGAGAGGAGTAAAAGAAATAATATGTGTAAAAAAGTGCTTAGAATGCTTGCACACTTGCCTGGCACATATAACTCAATAAGTGTTAGCTGTTGTGTTAGTAGTAGGCAGGATAAGAACTTGGAAGTCTGGTGGAGGAAAAATTCTTGGGTTGACAGGGCATGGTGATACCCTTTTGATCTCCAAAGTAGTCAAATATTCATTCTGTCTATGAGTGTGGATTGATCCCTTTTCAAAATTCATTCATTTGTTCATTCATTTATTTCGTAAAAATTTAGGGCCTGCTATGTGCTAGGCATGCAGCCAGATGTCTAGGGTATAACAGTAAACAAGTCATTTTCAGAGTCTACAGTGTTGTGGGGTGACAAACAAGTAAAAAGGTAGTTATAGTATTCTTAATATTTGCAATGATTGGAGTTTACACAGGGTCTTTAGGGAGCACTGGGTGTGTAGACAGAGTCTTTTTGGTGATAGTGTTAAATCTGGGTGGCAAGAGAAATACGTGAGTGCTCCAGATCTGGCTGGCCTCTTGCTCCAGATCTGGCTGGCCTCTTGCCGATATTTCACAGGCAGTGGATCCCTTGGGGGAATTGTTAATACTTGTTCTTGCTGGTGGCACACCTCAGTGGCATGCTCATGCTCCTTGGTATTCATTCAGTCTCTCAACTGACAGCCCCAAATTTTTTTTCACTGCTCCCTGAGCTGTTCTCCCCCTGTCTCAGTCAGAGCTGATGGAGTTGGGGAGCAGAGATGTGAAGAAATGAAGGAGCCCTGAATTTGCGGCTATTGAGTAGTTGGATGTCTCTGTGTACCTTAGGCAAGTGTGAATGTCAGGCTTATCAGGGACTTGGAAAAGCCGATGAGTCCATCCCCCTGCCTAACTCAAGGTAGGACAAGTCTCTATGACACCTTGTATAGTGATAGTGTAGAATCTGGGTGGGAGAAAAAATACCCTTCTGTGGCTGGTGTGGGTGTTGGTGCTGTGACCCATCCTGTCCCCTCACTGGTGTCTTACAGTAAGCAGCTGTTGTGTGACGTGATGATTGTGGCGGAAGATGTCGAGATAGAAGCCCACCGTGTGGTCCTGGCAGCCTGCAGCCCCTACTTCTGTGCGATGTTCACAGGTATGGTGAGGGGCAAATAGTAACCCACAGTTATGGGGCTGCAGCCCCACTGGGAGAATATTGAGGGTGGTGGTATGAGGGGAGGGAGGAAAGAGAAGGCTGTGACACCCACCACGAGGAGCTTCTCTGTGCTGATACTGTGCTTTGGCCATGGAGGACTTGATGGAACCATAGTCTCAGCCAGGCCAGCTGGGCACACAGCCCCTTGTCCACCATGAAGAAAAAAGAGGTAGAATCCTATAGTATGCTAGTTTTCAAACTTTGGCACACATCTTAATCATGTGAGGAGCTTGTTAAACATAAAGACTCTTGGGCTTATCCCTAGGTTTTGTGATCTCTCATTTTGCAGATTGAGGACACTGAGGCTAAGAGAAGGGAAGGGACTTGCCCAAGGTCACACAGAGTGAATGGAACTTGGCTTCTTGATGGTTGACCAAGTGCTCTACTGGCTGGTCCTCATCTTGTCATTCCCTAGCCCTTCCTTCCAGGCAGGGGTCATGGGCCTCCTTTAGCCTTTACAGGAGTGTGGGAGAGATTTGGGAGAAGTGATGGTGGGACTTAGGGGGAAGAGTAAGATGTAGGAATAGTCACCATCGGTCATTCAGTTACAGCACCTTTGTGAACTTTCCAGGGAGCCCCTGTTTCCTTGGTATGCCCAATAGCCTTGACCGACTATTTCACAAGTGTTACTTCTGAGACTGAATTCCCTGAAACCCATGGGCTGAGCTTCCTGTCTGTAGTGCCTCACAGCACCTCCCCTAAACCAGCTACATGCAGTGCTCTGTAAATCACTGCTGACTCAAGGCCAACTGGGCTGGGTGAGACCCCTGGACTGGTCAGGTGTCCCTTCCACATGCTCACCAAGTACCTGTGCTTCCTCTGAGTGTGGTCATTATCACTCTGCTTTCTCGTTTGTTTCCTGGTGTCTACAGTGCCTGTGCTCTGGCGTCTTATGTATCGGCTGCTTCTCATCCTGCTGTTTACAGCTCCAATGTCTCCTCCTCAGGAAGGCCTCCTCTGAGCACCCTAGCCATAGTTCCCCATTGAGACTCTTTCTATCCCATAACTTGACTGTATATTTTTCATAACATTTATCACTGTCTGAAAATCATGTTGGTTGGTTGGTTATATGTTTTTTACCCGTCTCTCCTCACTAGAATATAAGCTCCATGAAGACAGGGATCTTGTTGGACTTGTTTGTTACTGTATCCTGAGCACCTGGTACACAATAGGACTCAAATATTTTTTAAATGAATGAATGAAGTGTCTTCCACACTTGATTGTGAGCTTTGGGCACCTGGGGACCATGTCTTGTCGCTGTTGAATCCTCAGTGCTCACCACAGGGCCTGGTGTTTAGGAGACAGTAAATGAAAGTTGAGAGAATGAATGTGAGCTTGCTGAGAGTGGGTGAGTGTGGGCATCTATGTGCTGAATAGGCCCTTCCCCTTGTCCCAATATAGTACACAGCCTCTGCTGGGCAAGAGTGGCTCTTGCCAGGGGAGACTTGGCACTTGTCTTGCAAGAGTTCCTCACATGTGCGTCCCCTTGGCTCATCATGTGAAGGAACTGGTCTCAACTCAGAGCTGTGCCTCTGCTAAGTGGACCAAGCCACTCTTACCTCACTTTGAGCCTTGGGCCAGGAATTTCAGTGTAGCCTGGAAAACCAGCTAATTTCACTACCTGGAAATATTGAGCCACATTTTTTTTGGAGTAGTCTCAAACCCTAGTAGTAATGTTTTTATTTCTCTTTTTCCCCTCTCCTTCATCCAACTCTGTTTCTTTTAAAATAACTTATTTTGTCTGCAGTAGTTATTTAGCTACAACTTCAATAAATAGCTCTGCCAGTCATTCTGCTCTGTGTGTGGTTTGGAAAGTCCGGTGTTGAGAGAGGAATCTATTTGGAATTGCAATGAATTATAGTGTTGCCTTCACTTTTTGCTAATGAACTTGCCTCTTGGGTAGTGGAAATGCCTAAGCAAAAACAAAGTGATTTTGGAAATGTAGAGAAAAGATGCTTTGGGATCAAGTCTTGGATTCTGGTAATTGAAGGGAAGAGAGAATCCAGAGAAGAAAGCAGTCTAATGTGATGCCTAGCCCAAGCTTTCTGTTGAATCTGGTTGCCATCCATCCTTCCATCCTTCTATCCATCCATCCATCCATCCATCCATCCACCCACCCACCCACTATTCACATATGTTCATTGCAGAAAAAAGTTAGAAACTGTGGGCAAGCAAAAAAATTAAAAATTACATGTAATACAACATCTAGATAAGATTATAGTTTATATCCTTTCAGATTTTGTAGTTATTAATATATACAGATAACAGAATATATTTTTAACCCAAATGAATTCATTTTACATACACACAGTTGAATATTCTTTTTTGATGGGTGTACTTAAAAAATTGCTGTTCATCTTCCTGGAATGTTCTTCCTCCCTGCCTCTTTGCTTGCCTAACTCCTATTCATCCTTCATTAGCGCTTAAGCATCACTTCCTCAGGAAGGCCTTCCATGACTCCCTTGGATTAGGTTAAATCCTTCTGCTGTTTACACTCAAGTACCCTATGCTTCTCTTTAATATTACTACTTCTCTCATTACTTTCTCAACGTCTGATTTCCTGCTCAGTCATAGCTTTATGAGGATAAGAACTGTACCTTTTTAATTCACTACTGTGTCCACACTGCCTAGCATGATCTTTCATGTAGTAGGTGCTCAATGAAAATTTGCTTAATTGAACCTAACAATATATTGTGAATATCTTTTCATGTCAATGAAATCACGTCCACATCCTCATATTAATGGCTTCATAAGATTCCAGAATATGTATCCTAATTGAAAATCCATTTCCTTATTGGTTGGAAATTATAGTTCTTTCTAATATTTTACAGTTATAATTAATGCCATAATGGACATCCTTGTATCTGAATCTTTATTTACTTTCCTGATTATTTCCTTAGAATAGATCCCTAGAATAAGAAATAATTGGTTAAAGAGTATGCACATTTTGAAGACTTGTGAGACATGTGTCACAACTCCACAACTCTGGAACAGTTGTACCAGCTTACGCTTCCATCAGCAATATATGAGATTTGTGTATTTTTTTGAGGCCCCTTGGCTTTGCTTAAACCTTGGTAAACAGGTACAAAAAAAAGTAACATTGCAAAATTTTGTTCTAATTATCAAGTTCAGCTTCAAATTGCATAAAATTAGTAATGAAAAGGCCCAGCTGATTCTTGTTAAGTCCATTTCTATCAGCATGTTTAAGGCCAAAAAGAAAAGAAAATACATGTGACTTTCTTCTGACTTGAGAGATGTGATTATAATCTTTTTCTCAGGTTTAAAGTGTTTTTATGTTTTTATCCTCTGAGTTAATATTGCCCAAATGTCTTGTGGTGGTTCCAAATACCAACCCCATTCCTTGACCATGTCTTGCCCACAATAATTTGGAATAAATGTGAAACCGAGGTCTGAGTGCCCACAGGAGAGTGTCCAAAGGGAGCCAGCCTGTGAGAAGATCTTGGATGGGCAGTCACCTTAATGATCCTCCACTCCTATAGCATAGTGTGATTGGAGAGGACAGCTGTGTTGTGTTCTGCCCGTCTTTTTCCTGTGAGTATAGAATACTTAAGATTCCACCTCCCCCACAACTTCCTCATCTAGCACCTCCATTCCATGGTAAGCTAATTTTCCCCAAATAGTCTAGTCAGTTTTTTCTCTTTGTATCATGCCCCTTACTATAGGTTCTGTGTACTATAGTATTTGCACTCCATATAGGTTCCTACATGTCATCCAAATACTTTAAAAACAACCCCATTTAATGGTGTCAAAGGGACTGAGTTCTAAAGAATATGTGGGCTCAGGGTCTTATGCCCATCATCATGGCTAAAAGACATTTGGGCTTCCATCTCAAAAGAAGCCCTGGGAGTGAGCTGTCTCATTCTTCTGGTTCTGTTGTGCTATATGCAGAGGCTGATTAGATTGGTTTTGTTTTTTAAGAAAAATTACTGTCCAGTTTTTATTGATGTAGACTGATGTTCAACTGGTGTCTTTGAACATATAGTGAGTAGAAATAGGGAGGAGAGTCAGGAATGTGCTGGGGGTTAGAGGCAAGGGGCTTGGAATTTGAGTGGACACCAACCATCCACAAAGCAGAACAATGAGGCCCTGGCTGTCTTACTCACCTCCTAGGCATGAAGTCATCCCATAGAACCTTTGTTTCACCCTTTCTTCATGCCAGACTCTGCCAGGCCCTGGCCCATGTCCATGTTCTGAGTGTCTGCATGATGCATTGATGCCTTTGAAGACCTTCACGTAACGTGCAGCTCAGCAAGACTTAATCCAAGGCAGTGGGGCAAGGAGGGAGGGAGCACTAGGGAACTGAATGCTTGCTTTGGATAAAGAGGGCTTTGAGGTGGGTCGTGGAGTAGTAGTAGTAGACAGGATCTGGTTTCTGAGGGTTTTGCCCCTGAGGAGTTAGGGATTGGGTAGAACAGTTCAGGAAAAAACGGTTGGAAGCATCAGAGGCTGCTTGGCCTCATCTTCCACGTGACTGTTTTTTAGAGTTAGTTACCTCTCGGCTGAAGCTTACAGTGACATAGGGTGTCTTCTTCTTGTCCCTAACATACCGCATCAAAGTCAGGCATCCTTTTCTGGCTTAGGAGACCCAGATTTGAGGGTGAGGGGTACAGTAGTCGTGTCTAAAAATATGTTGCTCTTGATGCAGAAATGGTGAGTTTTTTCAAGAATTGATTTGAAAGTAGTTCAACACAAGATGTATAGCACCTCGGAAGAAAGACTGATATCAAACACCAACCAGCCCCTGTTAAGGTGCAGATGGTTTGACCAAGATGGTCTGGGATAGACTTGTCTGGACTTAGAGTACCTCTGCTTTGAAATTCAGATCATCATTGGAGATAATCATTGGTAAGGAATGTTTTGTGAATGTTCATGGAGGAGGTCTGGAGTTGTTGATATGGAGGCCTCCTTGCTAAGGATTA